CTGTGTGCTGGGATTTGTAGTTCTGGGTGTGTAATTCTCTCCTTTGTATGCAGATACAGAGCACGGCACTGCCGTCTCTCCAGCCAGAACTGAAATCCGCTGTATACTGGAGGGTCAGATCACCCAACACCACCTATTTCTGGTGATCGATTCTAATAATAATCCTATGGGGGATGTAACAGGAGGAGTGAGACTCTCCAAGGTAAGTAAATCCCAGAGATGTAGGAAGGGGGACTCCACCTAGAATGAGGATCTCAGTGTAACTTCTGTCTTAGATCAGCTTCTACTATGACATGGCCCACCCAGAGAGATATAAGGGGACTCTGCAGTGTGGTGTGGCCCCTGGGCCCTCACACAGCTGGATTTACCATAAGGAGCCCCCCCCCCCCCGGTCTCTGTTGGGGACACTCGGCTCCCATTCCGTACACACAGCTCCTATTCAGGGTCGGAATGTTCCATACAGCCAGCTGGTAAGTGTGCGGCTTGTCTGTAGATGGTGGAAAATGAGCAGCAGCTTCCTGAGCTCCGAGCCGCTCACAGAGCCCATATTGTGTACATGGGGGGGCCGCCGTCATCATGGCTCCATACCTGATGGAGACTTGTACCTCCCACCTGACTATGTGAGCGACATTGTGAAGTCATAGAAGGGCACACAGTTCCTGAATGTTCTGTGTGGATCTCCAGGACACATTACAGGGCCCAGTGCAGTGTGGATGATGATTTCCTCCATGTATCAGTTATCGGTGGGTGACTGTCCTGACCAGGGGCCACTTCTTACTTTCCAGGTAACAGCGCCCCCCCCATGGCTGAATTACACAATGATCCAATGACTGTGTGTCTCCTATAGATACTCCTCCCTCATCTACAATGTATATGTTCAGGAGATACTTTGTATCCAGATCAATCCTCACTCCTTCCTGTCCTATTCTCCCCCATCATATCTATCTGGAAGGAACTCTTCCCTCCCCCTCCCCCACTGAGGGGTGTGTATATATAGGGGGGTCACATGACCTGTGTAGTGGTTACAGACTGCCCCTCCCACATTCAGATATATATTCAGGGTCACATGACTTGCACTGTTTATACAGACAGCCCTCCTCCCACATTTTGATATTTATGGGGTGGGGGTCACATGACCCATGCTCCATACTGACAGCCCGTCCCACATTTTGATATTTATGGGGTGGGGGTCACATGACCTGTGCTCTTTATACAGACAGCCACTCCCATATTTTGATATTTATGGGGTGGGGGTCACATGACCTGTGCTCTTTATACAGACAGACCCTCCCACATTGAGATATATTTGGAGAGTTACATGGTTGGGCTTCCATTTCTGCTCTCTGAGAGTTTGTGTTGATGGATAGTGCAGCATGCCTTCAGTGTGAGATCCATGGAGATGCTCCTGAGCTCCATCACAGGTGTACTTGACCTGCACTAGACCTCCTCTTCTATGACTTCAAGCTGCTTCTATATTCCCATTGACTTGTATGAAGATAAAAACCTTTCTAATGTGAAGAGAAGGCGGTGTACGCGGCCAAAACCCGAGCATACAAATGTCATGCAGAACAGCTCACCAGTCCGTGTGGGCGCTGCATTCGTTTTCTTATTGCAGGCTGAGAACATTTCCTACAAGTACAGAAATACATGTTGATCCTGCCAGAAATGCTGTGTCCTTGTCACTACTGAAATCTCACAGCCTTCCCAGCTTCTGTGATCTGCAACCCCCAGTACAGAGAGTGAGCATTGTCACCCAAGGACAGGAAGTATGCTACTGGCAGGATCACCAGGTGAGGATAAAGGGCCAGAAAGCAGGAGGTGAATGCAGCCACCTCTGAGGACAGGCAGAGCGCACCTCTCTGTCATGGGGTTTAGATGTGAGTTACGTAGAACACCAAGTCTCCTTTATGTTCCTGGGTGGGTGCGATGCTCTGCATCACCGCAGTGTGTGTAGGTGGTGGGTGCGTGTCCCGGCGCGGTGTGGTGGTGTCCCCTGCGCGGTGTGGGGTGGGTGTCCCTGCGCGGTGTGGGTGGGTGTCCCTGCGCGGTGTGGGGTGCGTGTCCCTGCGCGGGTGTGGGTGCGTGTCCCGGCGCGGTGTGGGTGCGTGTCCCTGCGCGGTGTGTGGTGCGTGTCCCGGCGCGGTGTGGGTGCGTGTCCCTGCGCGGTGGGGGTGCGTGTCCCGGCGCGGTGTGGGTGCGTGTCCCTGCGCGGTTGTGTGCGTGTCCCTGCGCGGTGTGGGTGCGTGTCCCTGCGCGGTGTGGGTGCGTGTCCCTGCGCGGTGTGGGTGGGAGGCGTGTCCCTGCGCGGTGTGGGTGGGTGTCCCTGCGCGGTGGGGTGGGTGGGTGGGTGGGTGCGTGTCCCTGCGCGGTGTGGGTGCGTGTGGCGCGGTGTGGGTGCGTGTCCCTGCGCGGTGTGGGTGGGCGTCCCTGCGCGGTGTGGGTGGGCGTGGGCGCGTCCCGTGCGCGCGGTGTGGGTGCGGCGTCCCTGCGCGGTGTGGGTGGGCGTCCCTGCGCGGTGTGGGTGTGGGGGTGGGTGGGCGTCCCGGCGCGGGGTGGGTGGGCGTCCCTGCGCGGGGTGGGTGCGTTGTCCCGGCGCGGTGGGGCTCTTATCTGTGTCTTCTGTCTTTTCGGGACTCTCTGCAGTTTCTATAATAGAGCAGTTGGCATTTCCTGTGAAGGGTGCCTGGCTCAGCCCCTGGATTCTGGGAGAGTCGCACACATAGGCTGTGGCGTGGCTGTGGATTTGTCATTGTTTGTCAGTAATACACCTTCATGAGGTGTAGAAGTCTGGGCAGGGCCGGGCACCTCCGCTGGCAGCCTCGGGGTAAATGTTTGGCCTCGGCCTGGCATGCCTCCTCTTGCCAGGAAACGTCTCGTCAGTTGAGCGCGGCGGATCCCAGTAAATAATAGGTTGCTGGCGGTTGCGTAATCTCCAATGAGTGTTAATGAGTCTAAATGATGCCGCCTGCTTTATGGGGAGCTACCTGAAATCTGAGCTGCTCCTCTGTAGACGTGGATTCTGATTGGGGGGGTTGTATGTTGGGGTATGCTTTGGACACTCCCAGGGTAAAGGACATCTCGGCTTTATTAGGGGTCCTTTACTACGAGTCCCCCAAGCCACAAATGCCAGTGTAGGCCATCCCCCCCGCCAGCATGGGCAAGGTCTCCCATCCCTTGGACCCCCCCCCCAGTATAGTAAGGGCTTCCATTTCCAGAACCCCAACAGAGAATAGCTTTCTTGACATCCTAGATCTGAGAACTAATACTACTACTTTCGCCTGTTGAGATCTCTGGCAGACCTAACCGTCTCTTGTCTGCAGCCATATGAAGAGTCTCCACAGTGTAGCCATTCCCCTGGCGGGGGCCATCCTGAAGGCCATGGACTGGCAGCAGTTTGCAGCAAAGAAAACTGGGACTGTACACATATTCAGCCTATCTCTTCTAGATGGTAGACTCTACGCCTCCAGTGAGCCATCAGCAGCAGCCAAGGGGGCGCAATAACAGCCTCAATTCAGCTTTCCAGAGGCCATTATATACCCTATATTGCCCGCAGTATTGGTCGGCCGGCCTTTCCACACACATGACCATTAATGGCCCCCAGTCTTAGTCCGTTAGGGTTCAATATTGAGTTGGCCCCGCCCTTTCCACACACCAGAGCTTTAATGGCCCCCCAGTCTTAGTCCTTAGGGTTCAATATTGAGTTGGCCCCGCCCTTTCCACACACATGACCTTTAATGGCCCCCCAGTCTTAGTCCGTAGAGTTCAATATTGAGTTGGCCCCGCCCTTTCCATACACATGATCTTTAATGGCCCCCCAGTCTTGGTCCGTAGGGTTCAATATTGAGTTGGCCCCACCCTTCCCACACACATGACCTTTAATGGCCTCCCAGTCTTAGTCCGTAGGGTTCAATATTGAGTTGGCCCCGCCCTTTCCTCGCACATGACCTTTAATGGCCCCCCAGTCTTAGTCCGTAGGGTTCAATATTGAGTTGGCCCCACCCTTTGCAGCTATAACAGCTTCAACTCTTCTGGGAAGGCCCCCCACAAGGTTTAGGAGGGTGTCTATGGGAAGGTTGGACCATTCTTCCAGAAGCACATTTGTCAGGTCAGGCACTGATGTCGGGGGAGGAGGCCTGGCTCGCAGTCTCCGCTCTAATTCATCCCAAAGGTGTTCTATGGGGTTGAGGTCAGGACTCTGTGCAGGACAGTCAAGTTCCTCCACCCCAAACTGGCTCTCCATGTCTTTATGGACCTTGCTTTGTGCACTGGTGCGCAGTCATGTTGGAACAGGAAGGGGCCATCCCCAAACTCCTCCCACAAAGTTGGAGCAGGAAATTGTCCAAAATGTCACCTTAAGAGTTCCCTTCGCTGGAACTAGGGGGCCAAGCCCAACCCCTGAGGAACACCCCCACACCATAATCCCCCCTCCACTAAACTTTACACTTGGCACAATGCAGTCAGGAAAGTACTGTTCTCTTGGCAACCACCAAACCCAGACACGGCCATCGGATTGCCAGACAGAGAAGCGTGATTGGTCCCTCCAGAGAACACGTCTCCACTGCTCTAGAGTCCAGTGGCGGCGTGCTTTACACCACGGCATCCGACGCTTTGCATTGCACTTGGTGGTGGAAGGTTGGATGCAGCTGCTCGGCCATGGAAACCCATTCCATGAAGCTCTCTACGCACTGTTGTTGGGCTCATCTGAAGGCCACACCAAGTTTGGAGGTCTTTAGCTATTGACTCTGCAGACAGTTGGTGACTTCTGCGCACTTGAGCATGGGCTGACCCCACCCTGTCATGTGACGTGGCCTACCACTTGGTGGCTGAATGGCTGTTGTTCCCAGTGACTCCCACTTTGTTATAATCCCACTAACAGTTGAGCGTGGAATATTTAGTAGCCAGGAAATGTCACGGATGGACTTAATGCACAGGTGGCCACCTATCACGGGACCACGCTTGGAGTCACTGAGCTCCTGAGAGCGACCCATTCTTTCACCAATGTTTGTGGAAACAGTCTGCATGCCTAGGTGATGCATTGTATACACCTGTGTCCATGGAGGGGATTGGAACCCCTGAATCACATGATATGGAGAGGATTGGAGCACCTGAATCACATGATATGGAGGGGATTGGAACACCTGAATCACATGATATGGAGAGGATTGGAGCACCTGAATCACATGATATGGAGGGGATTGGAACGCCTGAATCACATGATTGGAGGGGATTGGAGCACCTGAATCACGATTGGGAGGGGATTGGAACACCTGAATCACATGATTGGGAGGGGATTGGAACACCTGAATCACATGATATGGAGGGGATTGGAACACCTGAATCACATGATATGGAGGGGATTGGAACACCTGAATCACATGATATGGAGGGGATTGGAACACCTGAATCACATGATATGGAGGGGATTGGAACACCTGAATCACATGATATGGAGGGGATTGGAACACCTGAATCACATGATATGGAGGGGATTGGAACACCTGAATCACATGATATGGAGGGGATTGGAACACCTGAATCACATGATTGGAGGGGCGGGGGGGACAATACTTGTGGCATATATAGTGGGTGTTATCTGACTGATGCTCAGGGCTCTTTCTCATTCCTGCTGCTGGGTGAACAGGCTGATAGAATTCAAAAAAGGGACCAGAACTATGTGTTGTGCTGGGGACCCACCGGGACCCGTGTTAGTCAGGACCTGGCCTGAGGTCAGTTAGTGGATGTTCGGCTTTGTGCGGTAGACTTGCTGCGCTGTAATAGAAGTGCAGGACAAACCTGCTGGGACTGTTCCTGGGTGCCCACACCTCGTGCTGCCAATACCAGTTCAGGTAGGTACCCAGGCAGGTGGGTTGCTGCAGTCAGACGTGGCAAAGGCCACCATCCCTGGATGCACACTGGCTGCACCCGAGGCCAGTCCCTAATATGGTCCCTAGTCCTGGACAGCAGAGGCACCCATCAGCCTGCCATTGGTTTGTACAGACTGCTGGCCACTGTTCATACACCCTGTGGCCCCAGATCCCCCCGGGGCGCTGTCCCTGTGCCATGCCGTGTCTGTAGGCTCACAGAACCATTTGTGGCATGCCCGGAACTTCCAGTCCGAAGGTTGTTCTCCTTACGATTCCCCCTCCCCCATACTTCGTCCTATTTCCATCCCCACCCCCCACTTTATTAATGGAGGGATAGATGTAGTGCCCCCCATGGTGACCACGTATCCCCTGCCGTGGCCCTGACACGTCTCTATAATGGAGTGAGTTGGAGTCTATTCTGGGGCTGATATTCATTATTGAGCTATTTTATCCTTCCCAATGGGGGCCCCACAGTGCCGGTTACCTGCCCACACAGTGCGCATGCTGACAGTCACACACAAAGGGCACTTCAATCACCAACAGCCTGGATTGTGGAGGAAATACACCCTCCATGCAGATGGTCCTGGTGGTAATGGTTCTCGGGGCCCTGGCACTGGTAGCAGTGTGCGGTCAGATCTTGTATCGCCCGTCGGCTGGTAGCTGTGTGCGGTCAGATCTTGTATCGCCCGTCGGCTGGTAGCAGTGTGCGGTCAGATCTTGTATCGCCCGTCGGCTGGTAGCAGTGTGCGGTCAGATCTTGTATCGCCCGTCGGCTGGTAGCGGTGTGCGGTCAGATCTTGTATCGCCCGTCGGCTGGTAGCGGTGTGCGGTCAGATCTTGTATCGCCCGTCGGCTGGTAGCAGTGTGCGGTCAGATCTTGTATCGCCCGTCGGCTGGTAGCAGTGTGCGGTCAGATCTTGTATCGCCCGTCGGCTGGTAGGTGTGTGCGGTCAGATCTTGTATCGCCCGTCGGCTGGTAGCAGTGTGCGGTCAGATCTTGTATCGCCCGTCGGCTGGTAGCAGTGTGCGGTCAGATCTTGTATCGCCCGTCGGCTGGTAGCGGTGTGCGGTCAGATCTTGTATCGCCCGTCGGCTGGTAGCAGTGTGCGGTCAGATCTTGTATCGCCCGTCGGCTGGTAGCAGTGTGCGGTCAGATCTTGTATCGCCCGTTGGCTGGTAGCAGTGTGCGGTCAGATCTTGTATCGCCCGTCGGCTGGTAGCAGTGTGCGGTCAGATCTTGTATCGCCCGTCGGCTGGTAGCGGTGTGCGGTCAGATCTTGTATCGCCTGTCGGCTGGTAGCAGTGTGCGGTCAGATCTTGTATCGCCCGTCGGCTGGTAGCGGTGTGCGGTCAGATCTTGTATCGCCCGTCGGCTGGTAGCAGTGTGCGGTCAGATCTTGTATCGCCCGTCGGCTGGTAGCAGTGTGCGGTCAGATCTTGTATCGCCCGTCGGCTGGTAGCAGTGTGCGGTCAGATCTTGTATCGCCCGTCGGCTGGTAGCAGTGTGCGGTCAGATCTTGTATCGCCCGTCGGCTGGTAGCGGTGTGCGGTCAGATCTTGTATCGCCCGTCGGCTGGTAGCAGTGTGCGGTCAGATCTTGTATCGCCCCGTTGGCTGGTAGCAGTGTGCGGTCAGATCTTGTATCGCCCGTCGGCTGGTAGCAGTGTGCGGTCAGATCTTGTATCGCCCGTCGGCTGGTAGCAGTGTGCGGGTCAGATCTGTATCGCCCGTCGGCTGGTAGCAGTGTGCGGTCAGATCTTGTATCGCCCGTCGGCTGGTAGCAGTGTGCGGTCAGATCTTGTATCGCCCGTCGGCTGGTAGCAGTGTGCGGTCAGATCTTGTATCGCCCGTCGGCTGGTAGCAGTGTGCGGTCAGATCTTGTATCGCCCGTCGGCTGGTAGCAGTGTGCGGTCAGATCTTGTATCGCCCGTCGGCTGGTAGCAGTGTGCGGTCAGATCTTGTATCGCCCGTCGGCTGGTAGCAGTGTGCGGTCAGATCTTGTATCGCCCGTCGGCTGGTAGCAGTGTGCGGTCAGATCTTGTATCGCCCGTCGGCTGGTAGCAGTGTGCGGTCAGATCTTGTATCGCCCGTCGGCTGGTAGCAGTGTGCGGTCAGATCTTGTATCGCCCGTCGGCTGGTAGCAGTGTGCGGTCAGATCTTGTATCGCCCGTCGGCTGGTAGCAGTGTGCGGTCAGATCTTGTATCGCCCGTCGGCTGGTAGCAGTGTGCGGTCAGATCTTGTATCGCCCGTCGGCTGGTAGCAGTGTGCGGTCAGATCTTGTATCGCCCGTCGGCTGGTAGCAGTGTGCGGTCACATCTTGTATCGCCCGTCGGCTGGTAGCAGTGTGCGGTCAGATCTTGTATCGCCCGTCGGCTGGTAGCAGTGTGCGGTCACATCTTGTATCGCCCGTCGGCTGGTAGCAGTGTGCGGTCACATCTTGTATCGCCCGTCGGCTGGTAGCAGTGTGCGGTCAGATCTTGTATCGCCCGTCGGCTGGTAGCAGTGTGCGGTCAGATCTTGTATCGCCCGTCGGCTGGTAGCAGTGTGCGGTCAGATCTTGTATCGCCCGTCGGCTGGTAGCAGTGTGCGGTCAGATCTTGTATCGCCCGTCGGCTGGTAGCAGTGTGCGGTCACATCTTGTATCGCCCGTCGGCTGGTAGCAGTGTGCGGTCAGATCTTGTATCGCCCGTCGGCTGGTAGCAGTGTGCGGTCACATCTTGTATCGCCCGTCGCGGCTGGTAGCAGTGTGCGGTCACATCTTGTATCGCCCGTCGGCTGGTAGCAGTGTGCGGTCAGATCTTGTATCGCCCGTCGGCTGGTAGCAGTGTGCGGTCAGAACCTTTTCCTGAGATGTAGAACCAGATTTATGTTACTGAGAATTTCCAGAGAAAATCTTCTTAGAGATGAAAGTCATTCCTGTGAGAGATGATGGTTCCCCCGCCCCCATCTTTAGGATGTGGTCAGTTTTCTACTTCCTGCCATTATTATCCAATCCTGAGAGTTGGTGAGAGAGACACTTCATTCCAAGAGGAAGAGACTCCTCCCCTAAAATATTGTCTGTCCTTAAAGGGGACCTCACTGTACAAGTCTCCATGAATACGTCCCTCACATGTCACATGATCATTTCTTGAGGAAGCTCCGCCTTTTATTACATATCCCTCCTTCAGCTCCAGTCAGTGACTGTGCCTAGGCTGCAATGATGTCATCAGTCTGCTGCAGGCAGAGGGAAGCTTTTCCTCAGTCTCCCCTCCTCTAGTTATCAGACTGAACATTGTAACTTTGTAGAAGGAGGAGGAGGCATTTCCCCGGTCTCCCCCCTCCCCCAGTGATCAGACTGTACATTGTAACTTTGTAGAAGGAGGAGGAGGCATTTCCCGGTCTCCCCTCCCCCAGTGATCAGACTGTACATTGTAACTTTGTAGAAGGAGGAGGAGGCATTTTCTCAGAGCTCATAGAGAGCAGTTGCTCTCCACCCCCTCTCTTCCTGATCCCGCCCTCTTCCCTGTGGTGGGAGTGGTCACACACAGCTCTCCCCTGCTGTAAATCCCGACACCTGTGTAGGACTGTTAGTGGCGGATGTCTTCCTGGTGCTGTGTGGTCAGTCCAGACGGCAGGCGGAGTCCTCCTTTAGACGCAGCCAATCCCAGAGAGGGCGTGCGATCAGCTGAATGAGATGATAATTTCTGTACAGAGAAGGTGGAGGAAATGAATGGTGTGCCCGGCCCTCCGTCTTCCATATTGGTCTTCTATCAGCTCAGCCCGAGTATTGTGTGTGCCCCCCCCATCTCATCCCCTCCCCCTCCCTCCCCCCCCCCCCCCCCCCCCCCCCCCGCCGATGCATTTCAACAATTCCCTTGTAATCCCGGCCTAACCGGCTTACTTTGATGGAGAAGATCAGACATTAGTGGCGGGTGGCCGGTCGCAGCGAGCTTCATTTCATTTTCTGCTTTCAGGGAACATAAAATGCGACAGCTGTGCGTGGAGCGACTCCGCATCAACCTCATCCAAACATTCAGCCGGCTGTGCGTTCCGAGCGCCGAAACATCGCTGTGTAAATGTCTGCGCCCCATCCTACTAATGTACACATTACCTGCTGGGTGTACGGGGGGCGTGGCTAATGACAGTCAGCGTTCAGGAAGAGGTCAGTCCAGGGAATAGGTGGTCTTCATATACAAGGGTGGGCCAATGACATCCAGGGTTCAGGAAGAGGTCAGTCCAGGGAATAGGTGGTCTTCATATACAAGGGTGGGCCAATGACATCCAGGGTTCAGGAAGAGGTCAGTCCAGGGAATAGGTGGTCTTCATATACAAGGGTGGGCCAATGACATCCAGGGTTCAGGAAGAGGTCAGTCCAGGGAATAGGTGGTCTTCATATACAAGGGTGGGCCAATGACATCCAGGGTTCAGGAAGAGGTCAGTCCAGGGAATAGGTGGTCTTCATACTGCTTCAGGGAATAGTACAAGGGTGGGCCAATGACATCCAGAGTTCAGGAAGAGGTCAGTCCAGGGAATAGGTGGTCTTCATATACAAGGGTGGGCCAATGACATCCAGGGTTCAGGAAGAGGTCAGTCCAGGGAATAGGTGGTCTTCATATACAAGGGTGGGCCAATGACATCCAGTTCAGGAAGAGGTCAGTCCAGGGAATAGGTGGTCCTTCATATACAAGGGTGGGCCAATGACATCCAGAGTTCAGGAAGAG